ATGTTGGGGGACGGCGGAGCCCGAGGTGGCTGCCAGGTGGGCTGCCCGGCCTGGCCTCGGCCTGTGTGGGCGCTGCGCAGGAAAGCCCACGCTCGGGATTTATGAAGCGCTGCAGGGGATGCAGACAGAGCAAAAACGATATGCAAAAATGTATACCTATATAAATCTGCTCAGGATTACTCACGAAGTACAAATCGTGAGCGTGAAGGCTAACCACAGGGCTGGGGAAAGCAGGTGCCCTTACAGGCACGAGGGTCTCAGTTCAGTAGATGGCCCCTGTGAAAGCTAGCTAGCAGAGGGTACTTCTCCCAAAAGTTTGGTACTAGCAGCAAAAACACATCTCTAGAAGAGCAGAGAAATGTGTTCAGTATCAGAGATCTTGTACATCATCAGAGATGTTACCACTTTGGCTCTAAAATCTCAAGCACTGGTGAGAGCAAGCTGGTATAGAAAGAAAGGCGGGGGGGGAAAGCACCCTGTTTTCAAGCTAGATTGATGGTGACTGTAAGCACCTACAAATTTTAAGTGCCTAAATCCACCACTGAAATTGGAAGAACTGGTGTTAGACAGAAGGTAGCAGGGACTCATTTACACAAAAGCGGATAAAAAAGGTGCGAGGTTCTCTGAGACGAGCAAGCAAGACTGCAGTGGAAGAGAGTGGCCAGTCCTCACAAATTATGCAAATTTAGATGCAGAATGACTCCCACTGAGTAAAGAACATAGTTAAAAGGAGCTCTTGAATACCAGACCAAAGAAATACTGGAAGAAGCAGAAGAAAGCAGGCAAGCCACTGTTCAAATGTGGGGAGGTGCTAACAAGGGAGATGCCACAGAAAGATAGAGCATTTTAAAAAAAAAGTCCTCTTAAGCCCAGTCTTGTCCCAGTACTGCCTGCTTCACTGGCCTTGAGCAGCTGGCTGCTGAGTGACATGGCCCAGCTGAGTGGTAGCTGTGCGTGCAATAGTTAAGAAACAGCAGGTAACGTTGCATTATGAGATTGTCACCTAAAAGCATATATGCCTTTATGTGAGTTCCTAGGGCAGAAATGTGACTTCAGAGTAGCCCTGAGCTGGAACCAAGGTAAGATCAGTGACTGGTGTTCTCTGTCCTGCTCATTGCTACCATAATTGCTGGCATTCATCCAAAGAAAGCTGATGAAACCTTGATGAAGACTGCGTCGCTGATGCTGTTGTAGTACATAATGTCTTCGGAGAGCTACAGACTCAGGGAGACCATCTTGTCTGGCAAAACAGCTGGCCAGGCAGGCTTAACATCAGTTGTGTCAAAATGTATACCTGCAGCTGCCTGGAGAGGTATTTTACAGAAAAAAACCCACCAGTGCATTGACAATGGAGAGGTCAACCTTAATACTTGCAGCAATTGAAAACTGCAACAGATTAAAGCTTGAGGATTTTTTCACAGTAATTGATATTTAATTATTTTAGCTTTGATTGTGTTGTGGAAACATGGTAAAACATGGACAATGGTATTTTCTCTTTTTACAGATGAGGATTATTTTTGTGGGAAACATTGCAGTTGTATGAATTTCGTGTAATGTGCAAAGTCTCTTGGGACACTGGAAAAGAAAAATAAGGCTTAAGGAAAAGGCTGAAAAGAGTACAGAATATACACATGGTGAATGAGACAGAAGTCTTGTGGAAAACAGCATAAATCATCTTCTTTGGGAAATGACTATCCTAAGCATATGCATAAAAGGACCAGGTTAAAATTGAGCACACAACCAGAATTTTTATTTCCTGACTTTCAAATCCTTGACTTGGCAACTTCAGAGGTCTTGTTACACACAATCTTGGTTTCTTTGCATGTACTGAGAATATAGTTAGGGCTGCTCTAATCTTTTATATCTCAGTAACCGTAGCTGTGTGCCTGCCTTCAACTATGGCTTATGTCCTGTGGTCTTATTTTATCAGTTGCTAAGAACAAAATTGTCCTAATTCTCAGACCTTGTCTAGAAACTAAACATCTGGGTTATGTTATAGAGCCAGCTTTTCCCCCTTCTGGCTTTTGACAGTTTTGTGAGCTGAGGTTTGGTGATGCTTGTGTAAAATCTATGCCTTTGGTGGCATTTCTTTTGAATTAGGTAAGTATTCTATTGAGGTAACTGTTGCGTTTATTGCAAAACACAAAACATGGAATCAATTTGTTACATCAATCTAAATAATATCTCGTAGTTCTTATATTATTGCATTGGCTGCTGAACATTTCAAACTGTAGGAAGCTTGTTCAGAAAGGGATGGGTTTTAGATAGCCATTGTGAAACAGCAAGCAGAGTGGTTCAAGTCTTCCACTTGTGCATTAAGTATGATTTTAAACTGCATCAATCGAGTGGATCAAAATGGATTTTAATTTGAAAATAAAAAGTTCTCTGCTAATACAGAGAAAACGTACAGAATTTCAGTTTATTCTTCATTTTCAGAAGCTGTTTGGATAATTAAAGAATGAGATAAGACAGTG